TTGTTTTTGTTATTTTTGTTCTTTTTGTGCATTGTCGCTGTGTTTGATGCGTGTCTGACACATGCCAACACATTAGTCGTGTCGTGGCATGCCCCTCCTCCTCCTCCTCCTCCTCCCCCTACCGCCAACCGCCCAGTTGTCTGTCGGACCGGGGCAGGCACCCCTTCTGTTCGCCACTCTATGTGGCAGTGTTTTTGCTGTTGTTGCAACTAATTTTATTTGCTGCCCAGCAAAAAGTCAAAAGCCAAATTAGGCAACACAAAAATTTACATACGAAATCGGAGCCGAATATTGGTTCTGGAAGAGGTCGGGTACCTGGACATGGACATGGTCCAGGTGTTCTAAGGACCAGGCACCAGTGGCAGTCGAAAAATTGGCCAAATGGCCAAATGGCCGTACGAGCGGTCGGCATGCGTGCCGCCAGCTCTGACAGGCTAATGAGTAGGAGGGGTGGAGAGGCACCAGCCCAACCTCGCGCCCCATGCCCCAATCTATCCAGCCGCAGTAAAGCAAGGTTAGAGACCCTAAGTCGGGGTTAGTCTGGGCCGCATTACTCATACGCGGCGTGCTCCCTCAACGCGGTGGCATGGTCAGAGCATACGTCACAGATCTGCCCCAGCGGCGCGTCACTATCGAGTCTGGCGATAGGGAAAGCCCTCAATCTGGGTTAAACATACGTTTATCACTTGAATAAGATATTTAATAATACTCATAACACTCGGTCGCTGTGCGACAGCTCAGCTGATCTGAGGTCGAGGTCGATCTCGATCGATTCCACTTCTCCCCACAGATGACAAACATGAAATCTGCATATCCCAGTGTCCCCAGTTGTGCATATGTGGCCGAGGACCAGCTGATGATAAGCCAAATCACGTATGAATATGTATATCGGGGTTGGCTGTAACAAATCCAACAAGCGACCAAAAACCCAGCGATCCAATGAATCATTTCGCATTCAACGGAACTTTGCTGGCAAAAACCACCATCGCAGAGAGCGCTATAAGCGCTTAAGCGCCTGCCCTGCTGAATATAAAAAGTAAGCAGAGCGGAGCGCCGTTGTGGAAGAGAACGGGTCCAGTGGTTAAGAGACAAAGAGCGAGAGAGAGCGGCACATGTGGCTGAGACGACTGAGCGGCTCTACCGGTTATAGGTAGTTCAAAGGCGGATAATTCAACATTGTGTCTATGTATCATTATTCCCGATACTCAAAGACAACATGGGTGTATTCCATTCGTGTGAATGTATGTAACTTGCAGAAGAAACCGCTTATGATCCCATAGAGTATATACAATGGGCATATTTCTTGTGTTTTTATTGGGATTCCTATTCTCCCATTAACTCCTATAAAAGAGATGATTCTGGAGAAAAGGTGTACCACAAAGTCTTGAACTATCTTAAACCAAAACTCCCATAAATTGGCTCAACCTAGTAACCTAGTAACGTGGTAAAACATTAAATAAATTATCCCTCTAAATCGCTAGAATCTGTGAAATTCCGAGTTTTAAAGATACAGGAAAACCGACAACGCAGAAGCATAAGGAATTGTCTTATCCACCAAGTAGCAGATCGGATCAGATCGGCACTCTCTCTCTCTCCGTCGTCCAGTGTGGCGCCCTCTAGCGGAGTGAGAGAGATATGACGGCCGGATGGTACTTCACTGCTGGTAAGCACAACTCGTTATAGATCTTTCTCTTGTTTCAAATTCTAGCCCAGAACGAATTAGTAGTCTCGTAGTCTCGAAGAACAAATTAAATATACTCTAATGTACACGTTGAGTACATACTACATGGCATTGGAGTGGTATATGCACGGCTAAGAAACCTGGTGGGGTAATCGATACTTGTGCTTGTGGCAAAAGATTCCAATTTAAAGCTGATCACTCAATAATAAGCTACAATTTGTTCCGGTTGTAGTTCTTAATTTAAAATTAAACATTTTTAAAGATTTAAATTGAGGTGTTTTCTCATCAATAAATCAATCAAATTAGTGACAGTGGAATAAGTAGAGGGGCATAACTGCAATGACCCAACTGCTGAGACTGATATTTCGAATATGTACGGAACATACTCGTATACCCTATAAGTCCAATCCGCTGAGTGACTGATGGTTCTAGTGGTCCAGTTACAGTGGTCTATAATAGGCACACTATGCTTGTAGAAGGGATACCACTGTGCCTAGACTTCTCTTGCTTTTCTTCCTCTTTGTCAGCGCGCTGTCTCTGAGTGATGCTCTCTTTGAGAGCTCTCTCTCTTTCAGCTCTTTTACGGTGGGTGGTACCTTTGCGGCACTCGTGCTCGCCGTTTCGTCGTTTTTACTGTCGTTTATGTTGGTTTACTTTTTACTCTCCGTTCTCGTTTCCACTTCCATTTCTGTTTCTGTTTCTGTTTTATTGTGTTGGCTGCGCACAATTGTGGGTGGCGCTTAGACGCCGCCGCCGCTCTCTTTCTGTGTTATTTTTTTTTGTTGGTGCACTCGACTGTGTGTTCCCGATATTGTTGCTGATGCTGCTGCTGCTGCTGCTGTCGGCTTGCCTCAATTTAATTTTCGGTTTATTTGTTAAAAACACGCACACGAAAAAATTCATTTAAACTGGTTTTTAGTGGGGGTTCGGTGGTCATAAGTGGGGGAGCTTCAGCGAAATTCCCGTTCAAAGTAGCACAGTTACAGTTAGGCGGTACACACGTACATGCATATACCGTTACAGTGAGGTGCTTGTGTGCCAGCTTAAAGCGAATGCTCCTCGTCGGCTACCAAGCAACCAACCAACGAACCAACCGACCGACCAATTGACTGGCGCGTGCCAGAGCGAGATGGCAAGTAGCTCTCTCAACCCTCGCTCTCTGTTTGCTGTTTGCCGTTTGCCGTTCGTTTCTTTCATTATTTGGGCTTATTCCGTTACGCTACTTAAACGGACCCAAGTATAGCAGGTAGTGGGAGAGAGGGAGGGCGTTGATGGGAGGGAGAAAAGACGGAAAGTTTTGAGAGGAGCTTTTCATCTAATTTCCATTCAGTTTTTTTGCTTTGCCCGCTTTTTGGGTACATTGGTACTTTGTGGCAGCAAATCTAATGAATGAATGAACGAAAAAGTAATGAAAGAGAGGGAGTGAGAGGGATGCCCAGCAAGGAACGAATGGCAATGTCGGAGAGAAGAGGAGAGGAGGAGCGAATCTTACAGAGTACCCACAAATGCATGCATGTATGTACATACATATGTGCCGCTACCCTTCAGCGTATGCGTAATGTACATATGTAGATGTTGACTGTACCCCACAAATGGTTCTTCGTGGACAAGCATTTGATTTGTTAAAAAACAGAAGTTCAAGTTCATATTGAAGCCCCTCATAGACAGGAAACCGAATCGATTCGGTTGTACTGCGTCAGATCCGCGAAATTTCGCTTTTAGCTTCTCGCTCACTCTCTACGCATCTAGAGGCATGAGCTGTGATGTTGTGGATTCGTGCAGGGCTATATCCCTATACCTGTACCTACATATATCCCATAATCCCATGTAGTCATACGAATAATTTGCCCACCCATCAATTTTGTAAGTGTAAGTGGGACCTACTTTGGCTTGTTGTACTCTTAATTAATCTCTATTCATAAGCTGATCCATTCATGAATAACCTTCAATATCACATGACGCACCACTCGACAGGGCCACCCAGGCATCAGAGCCAACAGACATCATCCACACGGTAGCTGCAAGCTGAGCTCCACTCCGCACCACTCCTCTCCAGATCTCCAGCTCTGTGGGGACACAGCTCCAGCTGCAGGCAGAGTTAATTAGCCCATGAGCTGGGTCAGGCTTCGGCTGCGCCTTGGGGCTGGGCTAGTGGTAACTCAAGTCGCTCATCATAAACTGCGACAAAGCTCCTCTCCTCTTCCTCATCCTCATCCTCATCCTCTCTGCGTTGTCTTTGTTCTGGCCCACCGCAAGACACTAGATGCTCGATGCTCGATGCTCGATGCCCGTGGAGTCTGGAGAGTGGATGTCAGAGCGGAGTGGAGGTGGAGTGGAGTGGATCACTTACGCGTGTCGAGCCTTTTCTGCACGCTCTCAGCTCTGCTTTAGACGGAGCTCTTAACGCTTAACGCTTGCCTGGATCCGGCTTCTCTAATGGGCCATGGGCCGCGCTATAGGTTATAGATTATCGGCTCGACTCGGCACGGCACGACCCGGATCGACTCTCCTGTCTAGGGTTTCCATTTCGCAATTCGCCAACTCTTGTGCCGACAATGGAACTGTCTTTTGCAATTTAACACTTGGCTGGTCTGACTTGTCTTGGCTCTCAGCTCTCAGCTCTTGGCTCTTGGCCTGGTCTGCATTACAGCATTACAGCAACAATGGCGGCACCTACTCGTACTACACAGAGAGCTTCTGCTTCTGCCGGAGGAGGGGTGGTGTGTGGTGATCGGAGATCGGTGTTCGGTGTTTATTTATGCCATGGGACGACCGCAAGAGGCGAGAGGCGAAAATAGAACTAGAGCTGCGCGGCGCGGCGCGAGATTGGGTCTCCGATGGGATCATCCCGGCAGAGAACTATCCAATTGGCAAAGAGGCGGAGGGGCAGGGGGGCTGGGGCTGGCCCGCTCTTCTGTGCCCACTTTGTGGTTCTGTTTTGCAATAATTTTTAATTTATTATTTACACGCACATTTTTAAGGTTTCCTCCACCCCACTCCGTACGATTTTCTGTTTGCAATTTTACAATTGTTTCCGTTGCTTCTAGTCTAAAATATGCGCATAATTAAGCGATTAAGCGATGGTTGTATCATTCTTTTTTTCGCTTGTGGTTTGTGCAACATTTCTGCATAATGGCCCATAGATTTCCCAAAGATTTCCCACTCGAAACGGGGCCTCAACGGAGTGAAAAGTGTGCACTTTTTGGACAGCATCTGAAGTAGTAGAATCCTGAACCCGAAACAAATCAATGGACACCAAAAGCAGTGGAAACTGCTAAGAAAAAGCCGCTGCTGTGAGCCATTTAAATAAATACGATAACTTTATTTGTAGTCTTCTCTCCATCTCCGGCTCTTCTTCACCTCCTCTCCTCTTCTCATCCTCTTCTCGAATCGTTTGGCAGATTCACACAAAAAGTAACAGAAAAAAAATGTATCCATACATCGATTTATAGATAATTGTGCGGAATTATCGATTAAATGTACACATATAGTACACATGTCTAGGCTTAGGGCTAACAAAAAAAAATGTCCTTCTTGGGTGCACTAGAAGCTAGGGCCATCTCTAGGGGTATCCCTTAGTCTTCCTTCCGTTTATGAAGTATTTACAGCTTACTGGCCCACTGATCTCTTATTATGATATAGTACACATGCAATCATACTCTTACATACTCGTCTATGTATATGTATTTGTATTTATCCCTAGGGTAAAAAAAAAACAAAAAAATTGTACAGTTCTTCTGGTTGTTGGCGCCTCTCTTCCTCTTCCCCTGGCCCTCAGTTCAGCTCGATGTGAAGGAAGGCGCGCGGCGGAGGCGGTGGCGGAGGCGGTGGCGGAGGCGGTGGCGGCCTCGCTGGCAGTGGCACCGCTATCCGGTTGGGTCAATAGGGTCGCCAAACCTGTGTGAGATCGCCCACATCCTCGTCCCGCGGTGCCTCAACGCCCACCCCCTCGCCCTGTTGCACCTGCTCCACCGCTTGCTGCTGCTGCTGCTGCTGCTGCTGCTGCTGCTGGTGGGGATGCTGCTGGTGATGGCTCAGATGATAGCTTTGGTTGGAGGCCTCCGACGACTGCTCCAGCGGCTGCTGCTGGAGGTGCTGCTGCTGCTGCTGTTGCTGGTGCTGGTGGTGCTCCTGCTCCCCGGTGAGGCCCAGCAGGCCGCCAGCAGGCCCGATCTCGATGCTGGAGCGGCTGCCCGTGAGGGAGCTGATGGTCAGCTGCTGGTCGCTGGCACTGCCCAGGTACTGCTCGAGCTTTTCGCTGCTGTGCAGGTGCAGGTGGATCTGGTTCTGGTTGACGGTCGAGTACAGTTGCGGGTAGAGCACCACGGGCGGGGGAGGTGGCGGGGGCGGGGCCGCAGAATGACCCCCCGTGCCACCGTACTGCGCCGAGGCCGAGCAGTTGCCGTACTGGTAGTTGTTGTAGCCGTTCGACCAGGCGGCCGCATTGTTGTAGCCCCCCGCCCCGTATCCGCCGCCGCCGAGGTTCTCCAGGTCGGACTTGCCGGCCCCGGCGCCCGTTCCGTAGCCGCCAGCGGTCTGGTAGGGATCCGTGGCGAAGCCGTGGCCGTGCATTTCGGGCAGGACGGCGGGCAGGTGGGCGTAGTTGCCGGCGTCCAGGGAGCTGGCCGTCTCGTAGCCGCTCCCGTAGTGGTTCATGCTCATCCCCACCCCCATGCCCATCCCGACTCCCATGCCCACGCCGACGCCCACGCCCATGCCGCCCGCTCCGTTGGTCACTGGAGCCGCCGCTGGCGGCGGTGGGGGCGGCGGCAGGGCCATCTGGTGCTGCAGGTGATGCGCGTGGGCATGGGCGTGGGCGTGGGCATGGGCGTGGGCGTGGTGGGCGTGCGGATGGTGGGCATGGCTGTGGTAGTAGGCGGCTGCGGAGCTCGAGGATCCCGTCCATTCCCCTGCGCCCATCAGATCGGTTTCTGCAGAGAGAGAGAGACGAAAAGGGAAAGAGGAGGTTAGTCAGTGAGAGAGAGAGAGAGAGAGAGAGTGGGGGAGGGGGAGGGGGAGACAGCAACAATTTGCCAGCTGGAGGCCAATTAACCCTTGAATGCCTCCAGCCGCTGGCGTGGCGCTGGTGAAATTTTCCAACTTGTCAGTTGCACACTTGGGCGTGGCCGAGGGTTTAATTGAAAACATCATTTCATATGCATGGCAACGACATCGATGGGGACTTGCCCCGTGGCATGCATGCATGTGTGGTGTCCCCACCGTCCTCGGGTACACCTGTACCCGTATCCGTGCCCGTACCACCCTCAGACGGAGTCCGCCAGAGAGGGGGTGGGCATTGCATGCCAATGGGTTAAGGAAAATTGCCGAGAAGCGGCGACAGGCGACAGGCGAAAGAAAATTCCAAGACTCTGGCTCTGGCGACGTTGCCTAACAACGCACCCGCACAGCGGGGGGCATGCCTCCATCCACACCCCCATGGCCATGCCCATGCCCATGCCCATGGCCACCCTCCACGTACTAGCAATCTTTGCTCTCATATTTTGATTAATTATGTAGCCCTTTCCCCCTGCCCCCTCCCCATCCTAAACACTCTTCCAGCGAAGTCCAAAAAAGGTACGCGCCAAAAATGTCGCTTAATTAATTAAATTCATTAGAAACGACAAATGAAAGATATCAGCGAAACTCACAAGCGAAATTAGCTCAAAGTAAATCAGCTTTCAGGTAGAAGAAATATGATTCAAGACCTGAAGAAGAGACCGAAAGGGTTGGTAGGATATACCGAATCCCATCCCACAACAACAGGCCATACGATAGAGCAGATAATTTACCTTGCAGATCTTTGGAAGTGCGAGGAATGGGTCTCCATTCGAAGTAGAATACTTGTAGAATAAATTAAAGAATGCAGGTGTCTGAGGAGATCCCAAGTAACATGTTTCACAGCACCCCACACACACAATACAGCTTGTGAGCTTCTAGAGATGCTCGTATTTGGCAATAACTCGAACTTAGAGAAACGATATCGAATCTTCCAAATACTTTGCATTCACTCTGCAAAATAAAGAAGGCAAATTTGGCAATTGGCAAGCTCACAATCCACAAATCCACAGGATTCATGAAGCCACAGCTGGAAAATACTCATGCCTCTTGAATGCCTTCGATTGCTACGAATCCTTCCTTCAGTCAGATTCGGATCGCTCCGAATAACAAAAAGAGAAACAGCCAATTATTGTGTTGCTTGGTCATTCTCTCTACCAGAAACCCAAATAGAGAGTGAGCGAGAAACAAAAACCGAAATTTTCGGATCTAACACAATGAATGTGACGTTCAGTCTGTTTTGGGCGAGTGATTCGATGTAAAAAGAATCCTGCGACTCCGAACCAAGGGAATACCGAATCCCACCGAATCGATTTGGTTGCCTGTTGAGGCAGGCCTCTGGTGTGGAGTGTCCACTTGCTGAATCCCAAAAGCTCAACTCAAAAGAAGAATGGATCAATACACTGTAATGATTTGGAAACTGAAAGTAAATCTAAATGGGGCTGGCCAGTTTTTTAGGGGCTCCGTGTGTGACAGGGAAAGTGAAGTGTAAGTGAAACAAAACAAGTCTTTCGTTGAGATGATTCTTCAAGAAAGACATAGAGCTTGATCAGAGGATCTCTGACTATTGCCATCTTTCGTTTACATAAACCCAGAGGAATCCCATTTTTCTGCCAGTGTACTCGTGGAAAGAAAAACAAATATCAAACATAGTAGATATCAACTATGCGTAACGTACCTCACGCACCACACCACCCGACCGCCAACGCCACCGCCACCGCCTTCCCCTTCCCTCTTGAATGCGGCATTTCCCAGTTGGGCGGTGGCTAGCGACTAATGAAAGGTAGTACCAAAATTGCAAGTTGCATGCAACTTTTCACCCGGCACTTATCACATTTTAATGTTTCAATTAAGCCGCAAATTGCGTTGCAGCCAACAGCAACAGCAGCAGCAGCAGCAGCAAGGAGACGGTGGAGAGGGAGGAGGAGGAGGAGGAGGAGGCACTACCGCAAGCTTAGGCAAATGAGGTTGCAATGAAGCGAAACGCACTGGATGAAAGCCACGTTAGCAAGGGTGGGGTAGGGGTTAGGGGGGTACCAGGGTTAGTGGCAAGCGAAGGGAAGGGTGGAGGAGGTCAGTGCCGTTCAGACGGTGCAATTTTCTGTTGGCACGTGGAATTATTCGCCCCAGGGTGGAGGCTCCTTGATCCCGGACCCCACCAGGCAGTACCCTGGGCCTTTAATTGCGTATACGCACAGTCTGCCACTGCCACTGCAACCGGCTAAGGCGAGCGGGGCGGGAGAATAAGGGGAGTAGTCTCTTCATTCAAACTCTAATTTCGTGTTTTTTTGCTGTTTTTTCTGTTGTCAATTTACGAGTACGAGTACTCTTGGACTTCCTCCAGCAGATCCCACGGCTCCAACCGGATATCTTCGATTTTCACCCCGCCCGGTACACTCGTATCCGCTCATTGGGTGCAGCGGTAGGGAGCGGGGCGGGGCGGGGCGAGGCGGGGAGTGGAGTGTTGCCGTAGCGGATGCAGCCCGATCGGGCCAGCCAACAGAAACCACAGCAGTGGAACGCTGGAACGTTGGAGGCTTCTCCGACCCTCCTCCGAAACGGGCCAAAAGCCCAACAGAACAGAAGGAAGGCAGTCAGAAGGAGAGCACAAGAGTCGCACAGTGTCTCCAATAAGAGCAAGAAGATCCACAAGAAACACAAACAGAACAGAAGGGTGCGGAGGAGAGGAGCTGGCGAGGATCTGGAGTCTTGAAGTAATTTTAATTAAAGTGCGTCTGTGCCTTCAGAAAAAGAGCAAGAGAAAAAGTGCTGCCTTTGTGGAAAATGGCGGCAGAACCCACGGCAACAACAGCGATACGAAACGGAAGTGAGTTTGCGGTTTTTCGGCTGTCGGGGACTCTCGGTATTGGGTCTTTAAAGCAGAGCGGAGAGATGCAGTGTGCCAGGGGGCAACTGCAGCCATTGATGGCTTGCCACAGTTGTTGCTGTTTTATGGGCCAAAAAGATTCATTTCAATATGTGACATTGTTGTTGTTTGTGTGTGTGAGCCCCTCACTCGCTGCTCTCCCCTTCGGCGCCATGCCCCACTCAGGTGTTGCCTGCATCTTGCAACGTGGCAGCGTCGGTCGGCTCTGCGGCGGCTGCGGCTGCTGCTGCAACAGCTGCGCAACCGCATTTGGATTGATTTGTGGCTTAGAGCGCACCGAAAAAGCCCTAGGTCCAAGCCCAGGTCCAGTTGCAGTCACAGCCAAAGCCACAGTTCCAGCCCCCAGCTCACACCCCGCCTCCGCTCACATCCCGCCTTGGCTGAATTTGCATATTGCACTTCTCGCTCTCAGAATCTCAGAATTGATGCCTCAAAAATATTTAATGAATGCAAACACGAAGGCAGCAGCAGCAGCCAACGCCAAAGCCCAAGTGTGAGTTCTGCGGCAGATGCACAGATGATGCACGTAATTATGGATGGTTGATGCAGGCAGCTTCTCGTGAACGAGTTCTCAGTCTCTCTGCAAAGTGTCCAGGTGCTTGCGATACTCCAGCGCCCAGCCCCGCCCCTGCCAACAATTAGAAACAATTTGGAAACTGTTGCAAGTGCAACTGGATCCCAGGGATCGCAGGGATCTATCACGGAAGGTTTGGATCTTACTGGATCAGCCGTGATCATTCCCAAAACTCTATTCCCTTGATACTAATCTTGTTTCCATCCCATTGTTCCCTTTTGAATCATATTAGTTCTTCGTTCTATTCCACTGTTTCATTCTGGCGGTATACATATATCAATTCCGTAGTTCCGAATGAAATGTATAATTGTGCGCTACTCTCTTCGTTCGATTTCCATTCTTCCTTTCAGTTTTCTTGCCCTATCTATCCGCGCAGCGCACTTACTTATCATCAATTATCATCATCATTCCATACCACTTCCCATTCATCCAACATATACTCTTTGTGTGGCATTATCCAATCCTGATTTCTTTGAAATTCGCAATGATTTCCGCTGAATTCTCGGATCTTTCAGTCCATTCTCGCCCCCTCTCTGGCACTCGTTGGGCTCGATAGCTTTTGTTGCTTTGATATTTCGTGTAAATTAACAGCTTAAGCGCCACATTTAAATATTTATGACTTAACAGCAACAACAACAAAAACTTCGAGAGTTTTTTCCCCATTGACGACGCTTTGATTCCGATTCCGACTTCGACTTCGACTTCGACTTGGATTTCTCGCGTTCATCGCGTTTCGGGCATTTCCGGTTTCATCGAAATACACAACAAAAAATCACTCCAAAAATTAAAAAAAAAAAAACCAAATCGCATTGCATTTGTTGCTATTGCCTTTTGACTAATTGAAAGACGACGACGACGACAACGATGCGATGCGATGTGTCATTCCGTATTGACAATTTATTTGCGTTTATTTGGCCAGTATCTGGCCAGTTGACTCGGCCCCCGCCTCGGCTTTAACCAGTTACCAACAATGAAGCCAGCCGGCAGCCAAAGTCCCAAAGGGGAAAGCGTGGAATACCCTAGAAGAATCCATGGATTCATGGAGATTGTCCGTAGAGTTAATGTCCGACTGTGATCGAATTTGCTTCGAAACTGCATTTGCGAAATATCTGTCTCTTAGAGCTATACTCGTATGACAATTCCTTCGACTTTAATCTAATTTAAAGCCATTTTTGGGTTCCAACCGGAATATACTACCTACAACCAGATATAGAGGGATCAGAATAGATCATTCAGAAGAGTATATTTGGATACCCATACACTCACTTATATGTGCCCCCGCCGAATGGCCCATCATATGGCTTAGCAATAGTTGATAAGCCCCTTCGAGGGAGGGTATTCAAAAAGAAACATTTATAAATTAATTAGCATAAGCAAAACGCTCCGAGTCTGGGCTTAACACAGCAGTTTCTGCTTCAGATTCGTCTAGTTCCAAGCTGGCCACTGACTCATGTGTGAGTCAGATGCCGGTTCCAGCTGCTTGTCCGATGTCTTGTCCCCCCTCGCATAAGCCCTTCGGTTTTTTGGGCACATTTTTACAGCCACGCTACATCGAAATGAATGCAAATTAAATGAAGCCAAAGTTACGCCTCGGAATCGAATCGAAAACGAGTGCAAATGAAATTTTCCATTTCTTGTCAGACATTCTGGCTGTCCATCAGTCAGATTGCGAGTGGAGTAGAGACTGGCTCTCTGGACAGGCCTCTTAAAATTGGCAGAAATAAAACTGGTAGAATCCAGAGGGTAGACTTCTATGCGTAGCACGTGGCATTTAGCGTTCGTAATGTGCGGCTTGAAGTGCGAAAATTACGACATTTTCGGTTGAGACTTTTGGGATATCGTATGTAATCGTATTGGATTAGCAATGGAATGTCATATTACGAGTACACCTTCGGATATTGCCAAAATAGTCTAATGGGCTGTTTCCTGAATCGATTACAGGGGTTTCGTTCTCATGGACGGATCCTTTGAGTGGTCACGGTTGGGGTCACCTCCCTCAACTTTTGATATCTCCAAGGCTCTCTTTTCTTTCGACCATTTGGGGGCCATTCCTTGAACTTCCCGATGGTCATGGGATGGGGATGTGGATGGTGATGGGGATGGCGATAGGGATACGTATTATATAAATACCAATTTATATATAGAAAAACAGTCTGCGGACAAGCGTCAACGCTGAACTATTTTTAATCTGAGCTTTGAAAAAATAAATAAATTAGCGATAGACTGCCAAAAAAAAAAGGTTCCGAAAATACACTGAGATGAAGACTAAATTCGGTGTTGGGCCCAGCGGACTGGAAGACGGGGGCGAGCGAAGGGTTTGGGCGGGGGTATTGGGTGAATGGCAGGTTGATTAACTCAATTAAAACGTTTAGGCCGCCTGGTGCCAGTCAACCAGAGATACCCAGACCCAGACCCAGACCCAGACCCAGACAAGACAGAGCTACAGACAGCCAGACATCAATACATACCCAAGAGTGGTGGCCAGCTTTGGGCATTCAAAGGAATGGAATGGGGAGTTACGTATATGTTTAGGGAACCCTTACCTTGGATGTGGGGCGCATTCGGCTTGTAGACCTGGCAATCCGAGTTGATTGTACTATTCGGAGATGAGTAATTGCTGCTCAATTGTTGCACCAGACCCGCGCCGCTGCCACTGCTGCCACCGCCCACTCCCACTCCCACTCCGACTCCGACTCCGACTCCGCCTGTGGTGGTGGACCCGGGCAGTGCCACCGATGCTGCGGCCGCTGCTACTGCTGTGGCTGCCGTGGCCGCTGTGGCCGCAGCCGCCGCCGCCGTCGTCGCGGCCGCAACTTTGGCCGAGCGCCGGAGCGTCTCCAGTTCGTGCAGCGTCTTCGGGAAGCCGTCGATGTAGGGCCGCTGGCCCAGGCCGAGGGCGCGGTAATGAGGACCGCCGGTAGGACCTGCCGAGTGAAATGGTTACGCCTCGATTAGTGATGGGACAAATCTATACATAGATTGTACATATATGCCGATACCAAGAATATAAACCCAATAATTTGAGGTGGGAACTGGTGAGGGTGGAGGGAGAAGCGGAGGGGGAACAGAGAGGTACAATCAGAAATACACCTTTGAACTCATTGCTCAACCGGAAATGAATCCATCGATAATAATGTAAGCAGCTTTAAGCCATCGAACATGAGCGCTCATCCGAAATTGAGGATTGGACCGAGGCAGGCGAAGCATTCAGCGGAATATGCGAGAAATCTGTATTTATTTGGGTTTTTTATCAAATGAAACTCTTCCATTTAATATGAAACTGCTCTACAATTATAAACCTTCTCTTAAGTACATCCTAAAACATCCTATGTATTCCTCAGTACAATTAATGATGGATTCCATGAGTGCTTTGTGCTCTTTAAAGATCCGATCAGTCTTTTGGGTAATGGAATAATTATCGCCCGAAAAGGGAGACTCCATTTTGCTCTGCTCCGTGCCTGCAATTTCGCTTTTCTGCCGGCACTCAACAACGTCCTGCCCTGAACCCTGCGTCCTGCGTCTGAAAGTCTCCGTAATTAGCACAAACTCAAGGTGAACTCAAGCTGTACGTTACCTCTTTGTACGAGTATATACCATGTGCATGAGTACATACTATAGCCCCCCTATGTACACGTACACATACGATTAACGATGCAGCGAAGACCTAAAAATGCATTAACGAAATATAAAGAGCGAGAAAAAAATTAATTCATATATGCATTACACAAACTAAAAACTCAATACGCAAAAAACAAAAGCGAGAAAAAAAGGTTTTCTTTGAAAACCGCAAAATTTTCAGAAACCGTAAGAGGCAGAAGCGTTATCCCCCTGCCCCTGCCCCTGCCACAGCCACTGCAACTGCGAACTGCCCTCCTCTTGGGACAGGGCCAGGCCAGGCCAGGCCAGTCAGTCAGTCGGCTAAAACCGGCTGCACTTTTCAAACACCTTCCCGAGCGAATGACTGCCAAAGATGGCTGCCATCGACTGTCATACGATCCTCAACAACAGGAGGAGAAGTGCATACTGCTCGTAAGTGGAGCGGTATCGAGTGGAATGGCAGTGGAACTGGCATGGAATGTAGAGAAACGAAAGGAAACGAAACGAAACGAAACGAGACCTTCTGTTCCAGTTCGACTTCGTGTGTGCCCTGGGGATTAGGGGGACTTAGGATGTTTACCGGCAATTGAGCAGATCGGATCGGATCGGATCGGATCGGCTTAGCTGTTTACATTGATTAGACACTTGTCTAATGCGACCCGAGCGAGTGACCTCTGCTGCCGCCTCCGCCTCCGCCACCGCCTCCACCCCGCACGCAAGCCGGAAAACACATGTTGCAACCCAAAACGCTGCGGGGTGGCAGCCCGGAAAGTCCTTTCCCTTGCCACATTCGCGCAGTGTTTTCTTTTCTATTCTGTTCTGTTCTGTTCTGTTGTACTCTTTTGTGTTGTGAATAGTTGTGGCAAGTGATAATTGCTAATTGCCCAAAACAATGTTACCACTTCCCATGTAATACATACACGCATACATACACGGTGATGGTATCTGATGGAGGATGGAGGATGGAGGATGGGTGGATGGGTGATGGGATGGGCCCCACTCGTACCCGTACTTACTTGTCTTGGAGCGCGGCTCCCGAGGTCCGTCGACGGTGACTTTGATGGCTTTGGCGTAGGTTGCCACCTGTGGCGGGCTCGTTGCAACCGTGATTGTCAGCGTAAAGCTCTTCCCTGCAGCAGCAGCAGCAGCAGCATCAACCAGAAGGGGCAACCAGAAAGAGAAAGAGAAGGAGAGATGAATATTGTACGTTATGAATGGCAGTTTGGCAGTCAGTCGTTTCAGTACTAAACGTCGCTCGCTGATTTATGCGACGACCTCAATGGGCATGGGCATGGGCATGGGCATGGGCAAGGGCTGGCTGCTACCGGAATCAATTTGCAAGACACAAATGGCCAGAACCCCGAACATCCCGAGAACACGCGTCGTGTGTTTCTGTGTGTGGGCTTACCCTTGAAGAGCCACAGTTCCTCTGTTTGTGGATCTTTTGTGGTCTACACGAACGCGGGACGGGACCTGTCATCAATTTTAGGCCTGTGGCATTACTATATGTGGAACGTACTGTGTGTGGGGTGCACGACCCCTGAGCACTCGCTTCCGTCGTGCGCCAACCCCCGGCTCACACGCTTCTCTTCAGAGGGGGATAGGTGTGTGTTACTTTGTGTTCGGATCGAACTGCTCCTCAAATGCTAATCTGCTAATTTCGGAGGCTGCACTTCCAGGGCACTCCTTACTTCGGGCATCCCCAGACATCCCAGTCTCGCCGGCCCGCGGTGCAATTTGTTTGAACTCTTGACATAAATTTGGTTTATCCCGCCTCAATGGCTGCCGCCAAAGTTACTCGGGCCCGCGGAATGGGCATTAAATGAAGAACTGTTGCAACCTGTCTTCCGCACCCCAGAGCAGGACCCAGTTTCGGGGCAACATTGTGGCCACCGAGGCAGGGGCGTGGCCAGGGGCAGGGGGGCAGGGGGGCAGTGGGCAGGGGCCAGGGGCTTGACCAATGTTTGCACTATTTATGGCCGCTCGACTAGTCGGCGTTTGGTCAACAAAATGTATCGATTGTGGGTAAAAGCATTAAATGAATTTCGTTTTGTTTTTATTTTGCACTTTTTGACATTGTCTGTCTGTCCGTCAGACAGTCTGTCTGTGCAGTCCGATTGCTGCAGTTTCCTTCTTGAATCGGCAGGAAAAAAAACAAACAAATAAAAGTCTGAATGTACGAGTACATATGGACGGTAAAAGTATGGACACACAAGCACAATTACACCCACGAAAAGCCCACAAAAGCGACATTGTTGTTGCTGTTGCAGCTGCAGGTCGGGCAGACCCGGCTCCCGCCTCCCGTCTCCCGTCTCCCGTCCCCCGGGTGCATACCGAGTGGCAACAACCCATCCATGCTGACCGCAGAAACCTCAGTCGCATCCCCATCCCAGCCCCATCCCCCACATCCCACAGCCGCTTCCTCTCATTGAACACCTACGCAGAGAGGAACTGCAGTGGGCGGAGGGGGGATCAAGGGCTAGAGAGTAAAGGATATTGCGGGTTGCACAAGAGTGCAAGAGCCTCTTCAAATACCCCTCCCAGCTAACGTCTTCTGATCTTTATTTCAGATCATCTGGATCTGATCGCATCCTCTGAAGCATTCCCTGGGTATGTACATACGTAAGTATATTCCAAATAGTTCCAATGAAGGACTGCCATGACAAAAGAGAATCAAACTCTCTGTCTGTCTCTCTCCATGCCGCTCTGTGACTCTGTGACTGTAGGTGTAATTTAAGATTTGATCGCTCAACTGATGTCTGATGTCTGATGTTTGATGTTTGATGTTGGATGCCTGATGTGTGGGGCAAGTTCATTAACCGAAGTCAAATCCGAAACCACGAAGAGCCGTTTGGAGCCGAGTGGCGATTGCCTGAATGGGTATTTAGGCCTCAGATGCTACCCCAAATGGCTGGCCATCAGTTAGAAAGCGTTTTGGGTTTGTCTTCGAAATGTCTTCATTACGCCGTAAGAATTGCCTCGAATTGGATAACTGAAACCGAAATCGTTGCCGTGCGTGTCTGTTCAGCTCAGCCCCAGCCCCGGCCCCAGCCCCGGCCCCAGCCCCGGCCCCAGCCTCAGCCCCAGCCTCTCAGCTCAAAGAAAGATCTATCGAAACGTGAACGCAAATTAATCAAAAGCAGCAAAAGAAGAAAGAAGTAAACTGTTAAATAGGCCTCAAGCGCGAGCTCCTTTTTGGGTAATTTTTCAAATGAGAGCAAACTGGAGCAAGCTTCTCTCCAGCTCTCCAGCACTCCAGCTCCCAGCTCTACAACTCTCCAGCTGTCTAGAAATACAACTCCATCTGCACCGAGTCGTATGTAAAAGTTCGTTAGAGTAATATGAAAATGTTATTGCTGCCTTTGGCTGGCTTTTGTCTTTGGCATAATGATAAAATATCAGGCTACGAGAGCCACTAAAGACCCCGAAATGAGAGCGATAATAACCGTAATGGGCACAAAACCAAAGCCGAACAAAAGAGATAGGGATAGGGATAGGGATAGGGATGGAACTGGAGCTGGAGCTGGAGATTGGGGATTGTTGTGTTAGGGAGTCCAATCCGACTCCAAATTAGTCATCATCAGAGCTGGAGTCAGAGTCAGAGTCAGAATCACTTGAGCACTACTCATCTACTTACTCACGCACTCTAAACACCCGACCATACTGGAGTCTATTAATACTTATGCATACACGTAATCCGTACTACTCGTATGTCTGAATTTATATCTGAATCGCGAGTCTCACAGCCATGAGCAATAGCCAGAAGCCGATAAGTCCAGCCCCAGCTCGGATCTGAGCTATCGTAGCGCTGCAAGAACCCTTTTCGATGGGAACAAACGAAGCCGTGACTCTGTGGGAACGAGCGGCACAAACCGAGCATTTAGCGTTCGATAAGCTTTCGACTGATATCCCGCGGAATATAACAAACGAACAACAACAAATAAACATATGTGCGAGTGTGTTATGCAAGAGCTGTGTCAGTGGATGGTAGCTCTGATAATTGCTGGGAAACTCTGCCCCACAAGGAAGTGAACAGATTCCGTGGTCTCCGATCTGCGATGGATAGCATCAGAAGCAGGAGGGAGCAAAAGTTCCCACCCTGATACCGCCATAACCATAGAAACATATGGAATACGAACGAGTAGTAAGTACTACTAGCAGTAGTACTATATAGCATAGCTGTTAAGCTTAGAACATGGGTTATTCGAAAGCGGGATTGATGAAAAACTTCCTCTTAGTAATTAGTACACTGTGCACATCATGTACCGCCTTTCATCTTACACGAAATTGTGCCATAATCTATATTGCAATGAGAACTAACTCTTCATAGAATAGGGAGATATCCACACAAGAGTAGATAAAAATCAACTTTAATGAGAACTCTCTCTTGGTTGTTGGATTGTTGTTTAAAATATTCATCCTATTAGCCGGCTAAAATCTACTCACTTCGGACTTGGGCTTCTCCTAGCCTCTTATTCAACCACTAAGTCGGATCAGGGACCCAGCCCGTACGGGCTTTCAAGCAGGGGGGGTGGCCATGCGAACAAATCCTTTGGGCGCGTGTCCTTCATTTGCTGTGTGCGTGTTGTGTCCTTTGTTTAAATCGCATCGCCAGAAAAGTCAAGCCCTTTGATATGATTGCCCGCTTATGAGGAGGATGATGGATGCGGACGATGATGATGATAATGATGATGAGCGCTGATAAGTGAGCCCAATCAACCAGTCATCGATCTGCAAAGAGTCTGTCTCCCTGTCTGTCCCACTCCGCTGCCATTCCATGTCCGAATCAGCATCAGATTCAGATCTCCAACATCAGATGGAGGTTCCCATTTAGATTTGGGTTTTCTGTTTTTGGTTTTCGCTTTTCGGTTTTCGGTTTTGTCGCTGACGGAAAATTAAAAAACATGTCGTCGACGCATGACAAGGCCAGGCCGAGAGGCGATAACTTGCCACGCCCCACGACTGGGCTGTCAGCCCACTTAATAACTGGAAAGCAACTCTCACTCGCCCAACCCCCACCCCCCACTCGCATCGTATCGCATCGAAAACGAAAACGAAGCAAACAAAAAAAGGCAGAGGAAATTTTAAGCGGGAGCCAATGGTATTGTCTGATACCGTGGATGTTCCAGGGAATGATGATCCGGACTGTACGACTGTCATTGAGCAGGATATTGGACACTGTAAATCTAAGGAACCGACCCAAAATTTTCGGGGGCATTTCAATTTCGCATCTCGAATTCATACATACTCGTACTTCATGATGGAAACGTGTATTTTGTTTTCTATTTATCTGATCTTGTCTCTAGATAAATCTTAAGGTATGTCTTATAAGATTATTCACTATATACATATATCCGGATATGCTCCCACATTCAACCTTCATATAAAGTTGCCTCTTTCCATCTGAAGCTCTCTGGGCGTAGTCTTCGGGGATTCTGTGGCCTTCCAGGGTATCCCTGGCTTCGATTACTCCTCGGACTTGTATCCTGTGTGCAGGTTTCCCTTTTGGCATTTTAATGGTCTCATTGTTTTCTGTTGTTTTTGCGCTTTGTCATCTAATCAGAAATCGCTGCATGATGTCCGCCGATGGCTGTCCGCGTGCCGGCGGCTCGCTCGCTCGCTCGCGATTCCAGCGCGCGTCCAACGGCTGGGGCTGGACCGGAGTGGGAGTGGGAGTGGGAGTGGTTGTGGGGGCGTGACCATTAAGCCAAGTGAACTGTTGCTGCCTGTCGCTGACAATTTGGTCAACGTTTATGTTCTTACATCATTAGCTTGTTATTTGCATGCCTCTCAGTCCTAGTCCCAGTTTCAGTTTCATTTCGGTTAGGCTCTAGCTCTCGGGTTGGTTTGTCCTGGCCCGGGCTGGGTCATTGTTGTAATTATTTTGTTTTGGCCCTTTTGCGGCACGAGCCGTCAATTTTCAGAGTTCGCAGAGAGGCAACAAGCCAGCGCGAGGGACGTCTGAGGGCAAGTCGTAAGCTGGGGCTGAGGCTGGGGCAGAGGCAGAGGCAGGACAGGGACAGGGACAGGGACAGGGACAAAGGCAACAGTTGCAGCTAATTAACCAACTGCTGCTTCTGCAAATTCTATGCAACATTCGACCTGGCCAGCCATGCTCGTGCTCCTGCCCATGCCCTTGCCCTTGCCCGTGTCCGTGCCCGTGCCCCTGCCAAATTCCACATTAATTGTGGGTTCAAATCGATTACCAGGCCAGGACAGGCCGGACCAGACCTAAGCCTTGCGTGACGCCTCCGATCTAAGTGCATATGGATATGGATATGGATATGGATATGCACGATTACTCGTATTTGAATGGAGTGCAACTTTTGTGTGCCGCCTCGTGTTGCATGTTGGCCCGGGGCCAGCGCCAACTGCAGCCTAATGTGACGACTGCTGTACCACCGATCTGCAGTCGGTGCTGCCTCACTCCGCTGGTGGTGGTGCTGCTGCTGGTGCTGGCGGTGGCCGAAGGGAGCGTTCGGAGGACAGTTCGGAAGGGCGCAGAAGGAAGGAGCACTTTCGGCATGTCACTCAATCAATGCACTTCCGATTGGGGCCAAAGAGCTTCCGCTCTCCAAATTCGGGATCTTTTTCTTGGGGTTTTAGGGTTTTGGGTTTTGGGTTTTGGGTTTTGAGTTTTTGGGAAACTGGAACTGTGGGAAGGAGCAGTCCGACAGCGGACAGTGGACAGCGGACTTTGGATGGGAAAAGGTGAATGTCCTTTAAACGACTGCTCTTATTGTATCATTATCGATTGTATCATTATCAGTCATCGATCGACTGATCCTTGATCCGAGACAGATCCATACCCTAACCTATCCTGTAAGCCCGTTCTTCTCTGGATTTGCTCTTAGAAATTTCCCCAAATAGAACTCCCCCAATTAGTGGCGCTCAGGAGCACCGCACTCACCTCGTCCGCTGCGTCCCACGAAGCGGAGATCGTTGAACTTGGCCACGTCGTTCTTCATCTGGGCGGTACAGTTTCGCAGCTCGGCGCAGCAGTTCTCGTCGTTGCCGGCGCGAATGGTCACGTAGGTGCCGTCGCCGACCTCCGCCAGAGCAACGACCTTGAAGGCCAGCGGCAGCGTCTTGTTGGAGCGCCAATGGGAGGGCAGGGCGGAGCACAGGAAGTAAGGATTGCTCGTGCGCACTGCAATAAAATAACGGATGCCGGATGCCGGATGCAGGATGCAGGATGCAACAGCAAAAGCAAAAGCAAGAGGCATGGAATGGTTCGATTAGCATTTGGTTCCCCATCGTTCAGTTCATTAAATCATAATAGGATGGCCATCAAATTGTGTAAAAACGCTCAATTATTTATAGTTTGTTTTTATGCCCCCTCCCCCCCCCCCCACCCACAGTCGCAGCTCCCACCCGACCGCTGACCATCAATCATCCATGGAGTGTTTTCCAATGTCGAGTGTCCGGAGTCCGTAGTCCGTAGTCCGGAATCCGGAATCCAGTGTCCGCAACCCGCCATCCGGTGGTGCATAATTAATTAGTCCGTCTAGGGATACCACGTCATGTGGAGGTGATTGGAGAACTGCTGAGTGACGGCTGGACGGACGGAAAGGGTTAGGGGTTAGGGGTTAGGGGGTAAGGGTTGCCAGATGACTTTTGACTTTTGACGTTTGACCTGGTGCTGAAAGTGGGCCAAGCGGAACTACTGTGGGTGGGTCGGTCGGTCTGGCAGAGCTAGTGGCGCAGATAATTGATTGATAGGACGGCCTTTGTTTCGGATAACAAATTAATTTGGGCCTCAAAGTCTGTCAAAAATTTCTCTGATCGAAATCGAGTATCTTATTGATTCAACAGTTTTGCATACTCTCCTCTCCTCACCTCTCCTCTCCCATCGGCGCGTGTGTCGTGTGCCTTTAAACGACCTCGAAATACATAATTATCTATAATTGTGAATTTATTTGAAATTTAAGTTGAGTTCGGAACTTCAATCGCTTTCATTTTTTCCAATTTTGAATAAGGAATGCCCTCCTGTTTTGCAACCCAACAGGAACAACGAGTTGGCCTTCCTTGAGAGTACAAAATCACCGAAAATATCTGAAGATAGTAGAGTAGAACGAGTAACCCTATTTCTCTGATTGAGAGAAACTTTCCAAGCCGAAAGCTTATCCAAAAGGCTCGCTAATCGCTCCTGATCCTGCTGCAATTCGATATCAACCTCATGGATATGAAGGAGCACCAGTTATGAATAGTATAGTGAGTGCGAGTGCCAGTATGTGCTGCTGTAGGGAGGAAACTGGTTCACCAGCTAATTATCCAGGTCTCTGAGCAGATTCGGCTGTCGAGGAGGGGCTGAACGGTCGGAGCTGAGATTTCATTAGCAGCTTTCATTTCGGGTCATTGATACTCGTATCTGGCTGAAGTTGAAAGGAAAGTTCAACAGGCAGCGAGAAGAGGAAGCTCCCAAGCAGCCAAAGGCCAAAGACTCGTGCGTTGATGTGGATATCAATAACAATTATTGATATCAATTTACGCATATTCAGGGCTTGCATGCCCCATCATCATCACCATCATCGTCATCGTCATCGTGAACAGTGGAAGGCACAATTTTGACATCATCATCCGTTGACATCGACAAGCCAGGGAATGGTATAATGGATAATGCTGACGGTGACGACGACGATGAAGATCATTACGGAGCAGAGGAAGCCTCAGAAGTGCATGCGCAAGGATGTGGCAAGAGTCGGCAAAGAATGTGCGCTGCCTCACTGGGATCGGGTTATCCATCACCGATCCCCCTGACCCCCTCTCCCCAATCACAGCTTGGACACGAGCTAAAGTCGTGTGTGTGTTTGCTCCGTAAAGAAAGCCCTCTGCAAGTACAGGAGAGTAGTGCTTGAACCATCTATCTACGGACCATTCCATCTGGAGCCCTATTTAGAGAAGGAGCTGCACGACAACTCATTATCTTCTCAGCTTGTTTCCGACCTCCTTTCACTCGAATATTCAGCACCTTTCATCTATCCTGTCAGCACTGGTGCAAAAGACTCTCAGATTTCAGCCTGCCAAATTGTTCACAGTGTTTCGACACTTTTCCAATGTGGCTCCTTAATCGGCCAGACTATGATCAGTTTCATATTTCGTGGAAACTTTCGATTAAATCAATTCGAAGTTCGAACACAAGAACCATACGATTCCAATGCATTCTTCCATGAATTTTCCAGCTTATCTTTTCAATATTCGATTCTTAAGGCATTGCTTGGAAGAAAGCAATTAAGAGCGTCCAAAGAAGTTTAACGAACTTCTGCAATGGCTGGCCAAAATGCTTGAAAATACATACAATGAAAAGGGGTTTTTTCTATTTGTGGTAGTAGTTACTTAACTATTAAAATCAGCAAAAAATTCAGTAACAACACAAAATATACATATAACCTCCTTAACGTACCAAAGACTTTGAGATTGGCTTGGTGCAAAACTCTTCGAATGGATAGGACTATCTTTGGGGAAGAGCTTTTCGCAGGAATCATCTGCCTTATAGGATTTTGTTGATTTGAATGGGTTCAATTTGGCCAACTCCCAATAAATTTCGAAAATAATTTCGGAACAGACTTTAAATGCTTTTATGGCACTTCGGACTATTGATCCCTTTCAAGGCTATATGTAGGTACTTTATCCTTTCTTCCTACGAATACAACCTATCCTCAGTAGGGTTCTTTGAACCTCGTAGCACGATCTTTCCACACACAAAGGGAGTGTTGTTTTCCCCACTCTTATTATACTCGAAGTATATGCTATACATATATTTACTATAAGTAGATGATCTTGTTTTGATATTCTGATCATACCCACTACTCACCTAACTCCCCGGGATGCTCCTGCTGCCGCTTCAGCACCAGCCTCTCCATCCACAGCAGATCCTGATGCACTGCATTGTTGTTGTTGTTGTTGTTGTTGTTGTTGTTGTTGTTGGTGGTGGTGGTGGCAGTAGTGGTGCTGCTGCTGTTGCCGCCACCACTGTGTCCACTGTGGGCCGTGCCGTTGCTGGCCCCACCTGTTGGAGAGCTGCTGCCCACGCTGGCGCTGCTGGAGGGCAGGACCTCGCACATGACCGATGCGGCGGCGGCGGCAGCGGCTGTGGATGCTGTGGCGGCCGTGACCACCGACGGGGCGGCAGGTGCGGTGGCGGCCGTGGCCCCTTTGTAGTCGCCCGGCGTGCTCCAGCCGTTGCCCGTGGGCGAGGTGGAGGATGTCACCATGCTGTGGTGGGACGGGTGCGCGTGGTGCGGATGGTGGTGATGCTGTAGGTGCTGCAGGTGCGGATGCGAGTGAGGATTGTGGGTGTAGTGGTGCGGATAGGGGGGGTAGTACGAGTGTGGGTGGTGGCTGCCGACGCTGCTGCCGTTGATGCTGCGCGCCAGGCGGCCGGGGCCAGCGATGCTGACGGGCGCCACAGTGGCAGGGCCCGCGTCGCTGGCGGCGGGATCGGGGGTGGTGGACTCTAGCGCTTCTGCTCCTGCTTCTGCTTCTGCTGCTGCTGCTGCTGCTGCTGAGGAGGCACCCGTATGGGGGCGGCGGCCGCTGGATCTTCCTCTGGATCTGCTGCTGCCGCTGCTGCTGCTGCTGATGGACTGTTGCGTTTTTGCTGGGTCGCTGGCCAATAGATGCAAATGCATTCGGCGCGGCCCTCGGATCGGTTTACTTTGATCTGCTTTCGAGCTGCTTCCTTCTTTCTCTTTTCTCTCCTTTCTCTGCCTTTTATCAGTCTACAGTGCGGGCTGAAGCTGCTGCTGGAGGGCGCTTATCGACTGGCAAGTGTTTTGTTCATTCATCCGTAAATCCTTATCTCTAGACCGACAAAAACAATAAGCAAAACCGAAAGAAACTATATCAAAAATTGATTGATTTTGGCACTACAGCACAGAACTGAATGAAACAGGGCGGACAGAGTGGAACAAAGTGGAACCGAGTGGAACAGAACGGAAGAGGATAGCGTGGAGGCTGTGTCCATTTGATGCCGCTGCCTACTTTGAGGCGCTGCCAACTCCCGCCGTTCCGACTCTTTCCCTATCTGGTGCTCGTTCCGACAAATTAGTCACAAAAATTATCACTGGAATTAGTTGCTGTTCCGAGCATGCCTCGTATAGATGATCTCTGTGCTCTCCGTTTTGCACTACACTTTGTTGTTATACATTTGTGTACATAGATATGTACATGTGTTCTTATTTACTATTTGGTTTGTGGGCTGGATTGCTTTTGGTTCTTCTGCGGATCACTGGACCGGGGACGGGCCCCCTTTTCTTGTTTTTGCTTTTCCGAATAACACCAGCAAAGATACTCGAAATTCTGGAATAGCTTTCAAATCTTTTTTCAAATATTGCTTAGAGTTTGCCGGGAATATGCTGAGCGTTTCGGGGATATTCTTGAATCATTTGGATCGGTTTTGGTTTCAGCTTCGAACACTTTTCAGTTCACTTTTCAAAGTTGCAATTTTGGCGCGTTTTTTTTTTTTTAATTTAACTGTTTCTACTCACTTACACACACAGACACGGAAAGAGTGCTGCTCCCTCTTCATGAAATAGTTGTTAAAAAAAAGAGATCGATCACACAACTACGGATATCTGGGCGGGCACACGAGCATGTGTGGGTGGGTCGAGCAGGTGCGCTCGCGGGTCGTACTAAATCGTTACTGACACTTCATGTGGCCGCCAGCGCGACTTAACCCGTGGAACGGAACGGAACGGACCAGTCGAGGCGGCAGTCGGTGGGAGCAGCAGCAACAGCAGCAGAGCCGAGGCCCGAGACCCGAGACCCGAGGCCCGAGCTCAGAAAATAAAGAAGTGGAAACAAAAAGAATCGCTCGCTCGCTCGCTCTCTCGCTGGATTTGAATTCAGCAATTGCCGTTGTTGTTGGCTCTCTTGCGCTCGTGGTCGTGTTCTCTCTTTCGCTTGCGCTCAGCTGGCGCTGCGGAGAGCAGCGTCCAATCGGCTGGCCGTCCGGCTTGCGCCGCCTACTCGCTGATTGGCCGCCCGCTGTGTAGGTCAGGGTGGTGGCATGTGGCATGTGCCACAGGCACAGGTACCGCGACTACAGCCCGCCATCCCATTGGGTGGAGACTGGCCACAGGGCAAGCTGCAGCCCGTCAATTGGCCCTGGTCGTGCGATTTTAGCCGGGGGTCCAATGGACGCTCTTATGCGTTCACTTTTCTCTTTGCTCTCTTCGGGTTTATGCTGAGCCATCTTAAGAGAGCTCTTCCCCAAAACTCTGCCTCATAAAAGTCATAATTTTAAGTTTTCCCCCATGGCACAACTACACTACACTACTGTGCCATTTTGTCCTATGACCATTTTAAATACATATGTTCATATGTACGCATGAAGAACTATTTATATCAGGCAAACTTTTATCGGCACGTAAATATATCTAAATTGAAATTTAAAACTCGTATTATTTCTAGAAAATATAAACAAACAGAAACAGGTTTTACTTTTGAATTCTTCGCAAGTGCTCCATGTGTGTCGGGATCTACTCGTTTTTTTAGTGAGAGCGATAACAGGCGCTATCACTGCGGTCAAGTCGAGTCGAGTCGGTGCCTGCGGTTGAAGTAAAAAATATGTGACTGAACCTATGAACCTTATCTAAAAACCTCAAAACAAAGCCATCCAAATCTTTGGAAACACTTTATTTTTTGTTGTTTTTTTTTTAATTTAAATTAATTGCAAGCAATAGCCTTGTGAGTTACACAAAGATATTATTTGTGTAAGTGTATAATCCACTAAATGATAATTATAATTTATTTAATTTTAAAATATTATTTTATTCCATATAACTGTTTTCCATCTGCTCCATACCGCACACTCCGTTATGGCATCTCTGGGATTCCAGTTCCAAGTGATTCCATCAGATCGTGTTTCTTCATTTTAGTGGACATTATCATTTTCTATGACTCGTCGTTTTCGGGTTTCTTGTATCTTCATAATTTCAGATGCCACAGATTTTTGCTGTTTGTGGGGGCGGTAGGTGTTAGGTGCACATGATGTACATACATATGTATATACGGATATGCATATATATATGATCATATTTATTTATGGCGATTTCCATTTAACTTTGACGTCAAACCCTATTCAAATAAAAAGTTAATTACTTCCTTTTATTATTATCTTCTGTAAGAAATATTATTCTTGGGAAAAGGTCTTCCACAAAAGTCTCTCTAACATATTTTAACTATCTAAAAAAATTCCTTACCTTCGTCAGATGCCTCCGCTGACTAAATAAAAAATAAAAATAAACAGGAAACGTTTTCCATTCAATACAAATATATATAACGAACACTCTATAATTCATTTATTTGGATACAAAATGTTATAAGATAGTCCAACCCAATTAGCTGAGCTTTACAATTTTTTAACCCAAGCTCAAATCCCGCTTCTGATTTTAGTAACTTAACGTAACGGTCGTATTTTGGGTCATAGTCATATCATTGAAACCGTAAGTTTGATTGTTGCTGAATATGCGCTGTATAGTAGAATATAGTAACTGCTATGCCTGACTGCTAGAAAAAATCAGAAAAGCAATGATTCTGCCCAGACTGCCCCAAAAATGGATATGGGCTTCCTGGATTCTTGGGTTGGTACTGGAAAAATATCCTGAAAAGAAGCTAACTCCCACGATTCATAAAATGTTGGCTCATGGTCAAGTTTTTATTGAACTTCAGATCTTCCAAGTGAATTAACTTCACAATAAAAAACTCTGAGAGCTTGGAATTCTCCATCAAGTTTTCATTCGCCCCACTATATCTTCATCCATTGAAACGTGGCCAGCAATGGATCCGCATAATGTAAAAAAAAAACTCTCAATTCGTCTGCTGTAACGTATTTTCGATTTAATAGTGATTAGACTTTCTTTTACCGCGAAGGCCCAATTGGAAAAAGCATGCAGTGAGAGTGAGAGAAATGTATGCGTTAGATTGGCTTTCCAATTGAGCTGTGACATTAGCCATACCACTATACAATATACAGTTAATAAACAGAATTTGCAAACAGCATTAATATATCTCGGTCGCAGCAACCACTGTTTAAATTGAGGGGGGCTAGGTGGGTTAAGTTAGTTCAGTCTTGAACGTTTCAGATCACGGACAGAGAACGGTTAACCAGGGTGACCGTTTATGGTACTTTTAATACTTTTCGGTATTTTTTTAGGTCAAAATAGAACCGTATATTTACTTAATTATTTAAATGTAACTTTCAGGCAAAATCGAATAAAAACATGTATCTAAATTAAGCCAGTCAAGTAGAAAATTTATTCACTAATCGGATAAAACTATGTGGGCATAAGTAAATTGTCTATTTAGCTAGTAATATTCGATGGAAGATCAAAAACGAGGAATATGATTTCCAATTCATGACGGAGAACGATTAACCTATTATAAGCCAAGGGGGTGTTTCAATTTTCCACCGAAAACAATGAAAATGTAATATATTTAGCGCAGTTCAGGTGAAAGATATCGTGGTGTTTTTTGAAGTTCTGAGAAAAAACGATACGAATGTACAAGAAAAATGTACAATCGTTAATATTTTCCGACATTTTCCTCAAGAAGTTGAACTATTTTAATAGAGGGGGCTTAAGTGGGCTAAGCCGCTGCCACCGCTGTTCTATTCTGTGCTTCCCACCTTCTTCGCATTTACAGTTAAATTCGCGTTGAGCAACTAGAAATCTCGGCAAGCTGGAGAAGTGGAAGAGAACACGTAATTCCACTAAGAAGATGGACCCGCGTCACCGGAGTCCTGGCGGCGGCCCAGCAACCCCAGCCGGAGACGGAGCCAACAAGTCAGCTGCTGGCAGTGCGGGTGGTGCTGCTGGTGCCTCGCAATCGGGTGCAGCATCGCCCCCAGTTGATAAGCCAACGGTTCTGGAAGGTAATTCGCTATAAACAAAGGCCTGTGAGAATCTCTGGCATGACACAGACTTGTGCGCTAGGCACTGGGCGTTTTTTCATGGTGTTATTGTGGTTATTGTGCCCTGGAGCTATGTATGCTGTTTAATGTTGGTGTGGGGGATGGTACGTGGTGGGTTAACCCCCGTCCTGGTCCTGGGCTATAAATACAACTACGCATTATCTAGGGCGCCAGGACAGTACAGGATAATCACACGCACTGGTGGACTACTTTTGGTGTTTATTTTTAGTGGTGTACTGTTGTGCTGGGGGTGGTGGGGTATGGATATGACGGGAGAAAATGGAATTGTTATCTGCTATTCTGTATAGGCATTCTGGTGTGTGTGTGTGTGTGTCCACCAGACCTGTTGACTGTCTCGCTCCTCTCCCGCAGCTAGCACACTGATGAAATTGGAGCAGTTGAAGCCATAGAGAAGCATCTCCATAACCTTTGGAGCCGACAACAACAACAGCCAGTATTTCACAATAACACCCACAAATTGTATTTGTATTTGCATTCCCCGCTGCTGTGATTCATTGCGGGTGTACATATGTGTGCGTGCTTGTGTGCATGTGTGTGTGTGTGTGGTTGTACTTTCCTCACTAGTGCACTAGTGGAACGGAACGAAACACCAGTGGGGGCTGTGGACTGTGGGCCGTGGGGCATACTTGACTTTGAACCAGATAGATTCCCGTTCCCGTTGAATGAATGATACGCCTTTCTTTGTCTCTAATCACGTTCCCGCCCGGATCAGGTGTGCTCCACAATATATTCGACGGACTGACGGATAAAGATGAGCAGGTGCGGGGAGCCATGCAGCAGGCGATAGTCAAGATACTAGAGACGCACCCGGAGCGCGCCACCGACATCCTCGGAGAGTACCGCGCAGAGCACCCCAAGATGAACGACCAAACAGTCTCCATGCTTTTGGAGTAAGTAGTCCGTCACTGGCCCACTGGCCTGCCTGCTTGCTAATAATCCTGCCATTTCTATCCTTTCCTGCAGCTGTATACGACGCGTGGTGGGGGCGGATACAACACTGCCGCGTGCGGCTAGCCAGAAACTGATTGCCCTGGCCCTGCAGGAGCTGACGCGGAGTACGGAGCACGTACCGCTCATTCAGAATCCCGCCCTGCGCATTCTTGTGGCCATCGGCAGGAGCGGACCAGAGGGCTGTGCCCTTGTAATGGAGGCGCTGCAAGCTCAAACCGGGGGGCCTGAGGGTGTGCCCCACTTTATGTTGATGCAGTGCCTGGGCCAGTTGGCTACAGAGAATCCGGGAGGCGTGGTGCCACACATCAAGGCGATCCTGTCGCGCTGTCTGCCGCACCTGGGAGGGATACGGCAGGACCACATCAAGCAGGCGCACGCCTATGCCATTGGTCGCTTCAGCGAGGCGGTGCTGGAGGAGGAGCAGCAGCAGGGACAGGGACAGGACACGGATGAGCAGCAGGACGAGACGGCCATCAGCTGCTCCACAGAGATAAGTGTGGCCTACGACGTGCTATTCAATCAATGGCTCCACTCGCGGGAGCCAAAAGTGTGCGTGGAGATCCTCCAGGCGCTCTCCAGCATGTATCCGCTCTTGCCACGAGACCGCATCCAGGACCAGGCCGCGCGCCTGGTGCCCCAGATCTTGGCCCTGTACCGCCGCAGTGTGGACCGCAACGCGGTGACACAGTTCCTGTGCTCGGTGCTCAAGACGAACCTCGCACTGCACGCCCAAGTACTGGACGGGATTATAG